ATGTCAAAAGCTCTTACACTGAGCGAAATATCTTCATTTTGTGAAAGCTATATCCGATTGTTCCTATGGGAGCTATAGGATATAGACGTCCGATCGGGTCGGTTTTTAAACTTGATCTGCGTACATGTTTTAGGATGACTGTGAGAGTTTTAAGTCGCTAGCTTTTAAGCTGAGCTCGCAAACGGTATTGAAACAGACATACAGACGGACAGACGGACATGGCTATATCGACTCCCCTACTGATCTTGATCAAGAATACATATATATATTTTATGGGGTGGGAAACGTCTTCTTTACTTCATTACAAACTTCTGACCAAAACTATAATACCTTCTGCAAGGGTATAAAAAGTGCTTTGTATAACAGGGGTGAGACCTTGCAACCCATCATCATTGCTGTGCGGCGTACTTTAAGTAGTTCAACATTTTATGTATATTTGATAACATTCAGTATAAGTTTCCGTCGTTCCTTTTGCAAATATTCTGTAAAAATAAAAGAAAATTTGCAATCGAAAATCAAATCTTTTTCATTGGCAGACTATTTTTAGGGTGCTGTAATATTTTTAATAGTGATCGTACTATATTTCTGGGAAAGTACTATTTTAATGGTAAAATACCATTTTCATAGTAAAATTACTATTTTCTTGTAACGTAACTATAAAAAATAGTAAGTTAACCACAATTTATGGTTGGGGCTAATTGTATCCTTTTTTACAGTTGCATAACTATTTTTTATAGTAACCCTTACGTTTACAAATTACTTAAGAGTAACAATTTACTTAATATAATTGACAGTTTTTATGTTTGGGGCCTGTTTGACCCCATAAAGTATATATATTCTTGATCAGGGTCACTAGCCGAGTCGATCTAGCCATGTCCGTCTTTCCGTCTGTATGAACGCTGATCTCGGAAACTACAAAAGCTAGAACGTTGAGATTTTCCACATATATTCTTGGGTCTCCTACGCAGCGCCAGTTTATTTCAGCCGAGCGCCACGCCCCCTCTAACGCCCACAATAGCCCACTAACGGTTTTAAAATGAGTCTGGCGCCCACACCTTTAAAGATTTCCGAGAAGTATAAATGCAATTTTGTTGTGAATATTTATACCTATCGAAATGTAGAAGACATTTTTCAAATCGGACCAATCATTAAAAAGTTATACGCAATCAAAAAAATGTTATATATCCATCTCCCTCGCACTCCCTTTAGCCGAGATAGTAGATAGTCGGGACACGAACCCGACTATAGCATTCTCTCTTGTTTTCATATGGGCACTTCCACCAAAAAGTCCACCAAGCCAAAAACCTTGAAACTTGAATAAAACAAAATTCCACATGATTTTGCCCCGATATTAGTTTTTAAATAGTTTGATCCTGAGCTAAACTTAAAATTCGGAGTATAGTTTGATAATTTTTATGACAAAGCCCACCAATATACGCAATAGTTAGTTTTTGGCTATTTTTTTGTTATTTTTTGAACCTGTCTTCGGTTATTAATTTATCCTATAGGAATGCTAATATGTGACAATTTTCTGTACTGAATGCTTCATTTACATGTTAAACTATTAAATTAAAAGCAAAACAGCCAGCAATTGCGGGATAATAGTAAAGAAATCCCCTTTAAGCGGTGAGAAAATATGTCCCGAGCGACATGCCCCGAGCGAATGTGTTTTAAACTGCATAAAAAACAAACTGCAAGCAATTTTTCACATTTCACAGCCACATAATTGGAAAGCATTCTAAAAAAAAATCGCATTCAAATATTCCATCAGAGTTCGCTAAGATCTGGTGTTGAATGAACTTTCCCAAATCCACTTCTGTATTGGTCACGAGCGAATAAGGCAGTTTTTTAACGATATCTTGAAAACTAAAAGTGGTACAAAATCAAGATTTTTACACAAAATATAACTTATATATTGAAAAGAAAAGCTCATTATTAGAATTAAAATCAATTTATTTCCAATTTTTATACCCTTGTAGAGGGTATTATAATTTCAGTCAGATGTTTGCAACGCAGTGAAGGAGACGTTTCCGACCAAATAAAGTATATATATTCTTGATCAGCACCAATAGTCGAGTCTATCTAGCCATGTCCGTCTGTCCGTCTGTCCGTTTCTATGCGAACTAGTCTCTCAGTTTTAAAGCTATCGCGATGAAACTTTCCCGAAAGTCTTCTTTCTATTGCACGTACACTCAGAAAAAAAAATTTCCTTAATTTAAGTCCATTGACCTTGATTTAAGGAATAATGGCTTTAAAATGGCTAAATAAGGCTATACATGGACTTAAAAATTTTTATCCCATATACATTTTAAGTCTACATGGACTAAAAATGGACCTAAGTCCATGTAACAGTCCATATGGCCTTAAGTCCAAAATTAGTCCATGTAGACTTAAAATGTATATGGGATGAAAACTTTTAAGTCCATGAATAGCCTTATTTAGCCATTTTTAGTCCATCGTTCCTTAATTTAAGGAACGTGGACTTAAATCAAGGTAATTTTTTTTTCTGGGTGTAGTACATATGTCGGAGCGAGCCGGATCGGACCACTATATCTTAAGGCTCCCTTAGGAATATTCAAACATATATAAGAAAATTCATTGTTACTTTGTAGGAAGTAGGCGTTTTAATTCTTGACTACTTATGCACGTAATACATATGTCGGAGCGAGCCGGATCGGACCACTATATCTTAAGGCTCCCATTCAAACATATATAAGAAAATTCATTGTTATTTTGTAGGAAGTAGGCGTTTTAATTCTTGACTACTTAAAAACAAAATTCAAAAATAGAAACGCTGAATCTGGAATCCCTGGAACTGCACCGAGTGAGTATTACTTTATCTGCAAGGGTATATAAGCTTCGGCTGGCCGAAGGTAGCTTCCTTTCTTGTTTTTACTTTAAAGGTGTGCAAATGTCCCGAGCGAAAATATGGTTTGGCACCGAAAGCCGAGTCCTTACACACAAAAAAAAAACTTGGTAAAATCAACTGTAATAATTGTCAAACAGGCCCCAGCCAGCAAAATTGTCAATTCTACTAAGTAAATAGTCATTTCACAACAACAAAATACACACAATTAGGAAAGACACAAACCCAAACCAAAAACAAAATACACGTAACTATTTTAATAGTTACGTAACTATCTTTGTTGGTCAATTTTACCAAGCAATTTTTTTTGTGTGTATAGTCATATCCGTCTGCCCGTTTCTATTCGAACTAGTCTCTCAGCGATTAAACTTTCCCAAAAGTCTTCTTTCTATTGCAGGTAGTACATATGTACATATACCGAATAAAAGAAATATAATAGAAAAAACATTGTAACTTTGTAGGAAGTAGGCGTTATTTTAAATGCGAGGGTATGTAAACTCCGGGGTGCCGAAGTTAACATTCTTTCATGTTTTATAGTTACGTACACACAAAAAAAATTGCTTGGTAAAATTGACCAACAAAGATAGTTACGTAACTATTAAAATAGTTACGTGTATTTTGTTTTTGCTTTGGGTGTGTGTCTTTTCTAATTGTGTGTATTTTGTTGTTGTGAAATAACTATTTACTCAGTAGAATTGACAATTTTGCTGGTTGGGGCCTGTTTGACAATTATTACAGTTGATTTTACCAAGTTTTTTTTTGTGTGTAACTATCCGTACACAAAAAAAAATTTGCTTGGTAAAATTGACCAACAAAGATAGTTACGTAACTATTAAAATAGTTACGTGTATTTTGTTTTTGCTTTGGGTTTGTGTCTTTGCTAATGGTGTGTATTTTGTTGTTGTGAAATGACTATTTACTTAGTAGAATTGACAATTTTGCTGGTTGGGGCCTGTTTGACAATTATTACAGTTGATTTTACCAAGTTTTTTTTTTGTGTGTATAGGTCAATTTTTCTAATATAATTTTTGTGTGAGTACAGATTCGGTAACTCCTACGGTTTTGATGGGTTCGACCCCAAATCCGTCGCCGGTTTCTGAATATGTGAAAATTTGGGAGACAATATTTTATAATTTGAAAGTTTTTTATTATCGCATTTTATCTGCCATTTGGTCATTCGCTTATGAAAACTCACGTGTTAGATACCGAAAAAAAATTACCCTCGATGGACCCCGATTTCTTAAAAATTTACGTGCAGAAGTTAATCGGCGTAAAAAGATGGTTATCTTTTAATTGATTTGCATAATAATAAAGTAACACTTTTTTAGATTTTGTGGTTTTTATCAAAACATAATTCTTGAAACCAACAAAGCTAATTTTTTTATGTATATCTCAAAATATGACCTTGACCCATTTGTATCTAAAAAGATAAAAGATTTAATAATAAAAACTGTAAATATTTTAACATTTTCAAGAGTTTAAATTTTTTTAGAACGAAAATAATATAACACAGCTAAAAACATAATGTGTAACAATAAGTGAACGGAACTCAGTTATCTTCCGCTTACGTATAAAAGTTTACGTTAACTTTTCAGCAAATGCAGAACCATTTCGTTTCTTCGGTTTTTAAGAGTGCGGGTCTGCTTTGTTTAATTGTGTGATAATATGGGCTTAGCTAGCATTTGTAGCGAAAGTAAAAACAATTCAATCTGATGCCGTCCTAAAATGTTTGCATTGGGGGTTGGAATACCAACTTTATTCCCATTGGTTGCCTTCCGTTTCGGCTCAAAATCTCAACGCGTACATGGAAATTGAACGACAATAAAAGCTATAGCCGTCTCTTTCCGGATAATTGGAATTCCCATAAGTATAGTGTGCGAATGAAACGAAACCTACATCGTGAAACGAAGATAGAAGCAGGGTTTAAAACGAGCTGCAATGACCTTACGGAAAGCATGATTTCGGAACAGCCCTCTTTTTTTGTGTAGCTGGTATTGGCTGGATGAAGTAAAATGAATAAGCAATATTTCATGTTTGTTTTGTTCAACTAAGTATGTAGCCAGTACCAAACACAGCACAAAGTCATCGTTAATAGGAAAAACTTATTCGAGGGCTATCCAGAAGCCATCTGAGGAGTACTCGTCAGTACTGTTCAGACCTCTTATTTCATTTGACGGAATCGTGTCGAGTGGATATTCATAATAAATTCACTGACGTGGGCTTATATGTGTTGAAATTTACATACATACTTATATTGTGCTAAAGAAACAAGAATCAGATGTTACATATTCTAAGTGAATTTCGTCTTCAAATCGTCTTTTAATAAATCGATCTCAATAAATACACTTTCTATTGAGATTCATAAATTTTTATATATGGATATATAAACAAATGTACAACATTAAGTGAGTTGAATTTAATATGTTAATATGTGGTGCGCTATAGACTGTTCTGACAAAAATTTTATCTACGCTTTACTTTGGATAATTCTGAATATGTGTCCTAACAAAGCAGTATTATAATTATTATTTTATATTATTATTTTAAATTACAAACCATTTTCAACTTTTTCAGCCGAAGAAAAAACTAAAAGGCTTTTTAAATAATTTAAATATACACACAAACAAATCGATTGGTAAATCTAACCAATATAATAGTAAAACTGTCCCCAACCACAGAATTGCCACTTTTACCAATTAAATTTTGTTGTGTCTATAGACATAGTGACGGATCCAGGATTTGATTACACAGGTACACAGCCAAAAATTTCCACACACCATTTCTAATTTTCCATGATAATAGGGTGCTCCTGAGTAAAAGTCCCATTAACACAAAAAATTTGCTTGGTAAAATTGACCAACAAAGATAGTTACGTAACTATTAAAATAGTTACGTGTATTTTGTTTTTGCTTTGGGTGTGTGACATTGCTAATTGTGTGTATTTTGTTGTTGTGGAATAACTATTTACTTAGTAGAATTGACAATTTTGCTGGTTGGGCCTGTTTGATAACACTATGCAGCATCAAAAATGAACCTGGATGAATGCTATATTTTTGGATTCGTTACGAATTCCCAAGTTAAACTGCGTTTTCCTAAAAGTTCCCCGACGCAAGGATTCTTAGCAAAAGGACCTCAAAGTTCGAAAAATGCTGTAATTGACCAACTTTGCGGAGCTCTCAGAGGCAAATGGATGCATGGCTTGGTTCAAAGTTAAAGTTTTTTAAAAGATACACCCTTTATCTTTCAAACCCCATACATAAAATAATTTTAGGATTTTTTTTAGGGCAGAAATAAATTCCAAAAAACATAGTTGAAATCGTCGAGGCTTACCTTATAACATACTTCTGGGAAGAGAATATTGCACTACAAGCAATATTTTGGGCGAAAAAAAATGTTTAAAAAAAATGTATATATAAAATTTATTTATAAAATTTATTTTTTTAAACTTTTTTTTTTAAATCTAAAAATATTTTTTTTGGGTTCGTCGAGTCTTACTGTATAATGCTGCGAGAAATTTTGTCCAAGGAAACCTCTGAGAAAGAAGATATCGCACTTTGAGCGATATTTTGAGCGAAAAAATAACGCTCAAAAAATAATCATTATTTTTTGATCGATATTTTTTTCGCTCACAATAATAATAATTATTCTTTGAGCGATTGAAAAAACTCAACAAATAATTATTAAAATGGAGTAAAATGTATAAAAATCAAGAAGTGAGAAATCATTGCGGATATGGATAGAGCACACAAATAGTAGCCGATTGGTATAATTCGTTTGATTATACGACTTTTCCAAGTGGATGATTTTTTTGCTTGAAAAATACATCGATAATCATTATTTACGGTCCCTGAAATAAATAATTTACAAAGACTGGGGATTGAACCGAGAACCTATTCAGTTTGGTTGGTTTTGTGTTGAATTTCCCAAGACATTTACACCCTAGGCTATATTTATACCCTTGCAGAGGGTACTATGATTTCAGTCAGAAGTTTGCAACGCAGTGAAGGAGACGTTTCCGACCCCATAAAGTATATATATTTTTTAACAGAATCACTAGACGAGTCGATCTAGCCATGTCCGTCTGTCCGTCAGTCTGTCTGTTTCTATGCAAACTAGTCTTTCAGTTTTTGAGCTATCCAGATGAAACTTTCCCATAACTCTTCTTTCTATTGCAGGTAGTATATATGTATGTCGGAACCGACCGGATCGGACTACTATATCTTATAGCTCCCATAGGAAGGATCGGAAAAAAAAACGTTAAACAAATTCTAGCTTCGGTGTTTTTTCAAATATTACCTTCTACTCTTGGGTATATTATTTTTTATATACATATTTCTGAATTTCGAATTAAATATTTAAAAAATCGGATCACTATATCATATAGCTGCCATAGGAACGGTCGAAAAATTAAATGGAAATTAATAGGAAAAAAATTATATCTTTGCTGATTTTTATTACATTCTCTTCTCCTCTGGGATATGACTAATTTTAAATATTTCCGAATTTCGATTTTAATTTAAAAAAAATCTAAATACTATATTATATAGCTGCCATAGAAACGATCGAAAAATTAATGTGAAATAATAGAAAATTTAACATTTTTGCGATTTGTAAATTAATGGAATGATCTGCATGGGTATATAAGCTTCGGCTTGCCGAAGCTAGCCTTCTTTCTTGTTTCGGATCATTTGTGTTTCAATTGCAACTAGTTAAATTCCAGTTGTCATTTAACTGGTTTTTAACATGTATTTGTTCTACCAATTCAATATTTGTAAGGTTTTTTTTGTCAGAAAGGGACCAGTCCGAGACGAGTTGCCTTTCCACTAGCACAAATTTTGTAGACTTTTTGTAGTCCAAATGCATCCAGACAAATTCTGGTTGCTTTATATTAGTTGTATAACTAGTTGTTTTTCGGATCACTTCGGTTTTTTCCTGCAGGGAATAAATAACACAGGCTGACAAAATTTGACATGGGTCGGTGTCCAGGCCTGCCACCATTTTATTTCGATAAATGAGACTTTTCTAGGCATAAGTTGCCACTACGCTTATAGTCCATCAGCTCTGGTATTTGCGGTATTTTTAATTTAGGAAAATCACAAATTTTCTTCGTCTTTTGGGATATATCTTCAAGAGTGGTCAACCAATTTGGGTAATCTTTTCGGAATGAAGTAGTTACATGTCTCTTGTATACGGTCGTTTTGGAAAATTCAATCCAAATGAACCACAAGAGAAGGGTGGCGCATTCAAAATTTTAAAGTCACAGCAAAGTTTAAAAATTTTCATATGTGAACAGTGTTTAAAAATTAAATAAAAATATTTTCTTCTACAATGCATTTTTGACCCAAAGATACCTTATGTACATTTTTTGGGACACAATTTATTACAGTTGCGTAATTTTTTTATTAAGAGTAACTATTTACTTGGTGGAATTGACAATTTTTGTGGTTGGGGACTGTCTGACAATTATAACGGTTAATTTTACCAAGTTTTTTTTGAGCATTTACTTTTACTTTTATCTTTTCCCACACTTTTAGAAAGTAAATTATATTTTTGTAGTTTTGTCCTAACGGAATGTATAAAAAAATAAAATAAATTTTACATTATATATATATTGTATTTCTAGTGCTTAAATCTTTCTAAGGACTTGCTAAAACATTACATCGCATGTCATCCAACGGCCTTTCTAATACAACGATAATTGAAAAAAAAAATTATAAACAACTACAAATTATTAAGGATAAACATATTGTAACGGCATTAAATGAAGTAGACTTGGTTATGAGTTTATCTCCAAAGGAATTACTGATACCTACCGCCACTTCCCAGCATCATCCAGTGAATACACCTACGAAATTAAGTACAAACGAAACAACGACACAAAATAACGTATCTACAGCAACCGCGGTAGCGGTTGCACATCACCACCACAATCTTTCGAATATTCACCATCTCCAAAATCTGCAAAGTCATCATCAGAATACAATTTTTAATAGTAATCACTCAACACCTTTTAGCGTGACCGATATCTTAAGTCCAATTGAAGAATCGTATCGCAAACTGGAACTGAACGGAAACCCGCCATCTCCGTTTCGGTAAATATAATTATAACAAAAAAATGACATTAATATACATTTGTCTTAAAGGGGTACATAGCTGTTTTTAGCCCAAAACAAACATTTTTTAATGTTTATTTTTATATTTCGAATAATAATTTAAGCTTTCATGTTTGCTTACACACAACAAATTTTGCTTGGTAAAATTGGCCAATGAAAATAGTTCAGTAACTATAAAAAACAGTACTTTAACTATAAAAATAGTCGTCCGTGTACCTATTTTTGCTTTGCGTACTATTAAATAATTCAACTACTATTAGATATTTATGCCGTAAGCGTATTTTGTTTTTGTACCTTGAAACTATTTTAAATAGTTGTTTAACTATGAACAATACACTATGGGCAAAAAATTCGAAAGTGAGGCATTTTTAAATTTTTTTGTTCTTCAGTATTACATAAATGACCTTCTGTGGTTATTTACAATACTTAAAGGAACCTAAAATCCATTTTCAAAGAATTTTATTTGGCGTTTTTCGCTATTTTTTCCCTTAAGAAATTCGAAAGTTTGAAATAGGGTCACACGTTTACAAAAAGGGACGAAAAACTTTGTAGTTTTCACACCTCGATTTCTTTGGTTATTGTAAGCCAACCAAAAAAGTTTAAATATGGATACAAAGAGTGAAGGATTGTTAAATAAATTATAAACACTGAATGTTTATTATATGTGCTTTTTGTCCATTTGTTTGATGAGTTGTCGCTTAGTTTTTAGATGACAAATAAGAAATGTATTTTTGCTTTCTGTGGAGTGTAAGATGTGAGTATAGGAGAGTATAGGCAAGGTAAAAATAGGAAGTTATAAACAAAACAATTGCTAATCGAACCCTATCAATACTTTTTGCACGTTTTTGCACGTTATACGTAAAACCTCCATGTTGTAGTTGCATTCGAGTTCTGTCACTACACATTGCTTAATGTTTGTATCGGCAACAACCGGCAACAAACCGCTGTGATGGAATTTGTTTTGCAAACTATGAACGGAATCGAATTAAGCGATAGTCAGCACACAATAGTCAAAAAAAATTAAGCAGATTGTTGCCTTTTTTAGTCGTAATTTGCCAAAATGTCATAGAATAATAGACCGATTCAAGGAAGAACATTTCCTGCGGCTTTCGTCGAACATGAAAATTTCATTTTTGGAAAAGGGCTTGCCAAGCGACAAACCTGGTCGCAAATGCCTAACTTCTAATGAGGCAGGACCACGATTAAAGCGTAAGGTGGCATCTCAATTGGCGAAAGAAAAAGAAAATTCGATGCCATTAATTTGGCATGGTGCTTCTTTTTGGCAAAAAATATCAAACAAGAAGATACTTCAGTTTTGTTGCGAAAGGCGTTAAATATGAAATATTTATTAACAAATTCATTTTTTTTATATCCTTGCCTTTAAAAGTAAATATGCGGCGTTGGCGGTTGATGGAGACTTGGTCCAATTCAAAATTTAACAAAAACAGAAATTGTATTACAGTTACCAACACAAACAACATTTTCTTTAAATCCTTGCCTTCAAATGTATATCTGCGGCGTGGGCGTAGGATGAAGATGTGGTCCGATTCAAAAAGCAACAAAAACCGAAATTACATCTTAGCCTTAAAAGTATATAACAAAAATTTTAGATTTGTATCTTTAAAACTGGAGTTTATGCCTCAAGGACTGAATATTTGCCCATAGTGCAATAGTTAAAAGTCTAGCCCTTCATGAGCCAAGCCCACGTCAGATTCTGAGACATTAAGACTTTACTTGAAAATTTATTTTCTACCTTAAGTCTAACTATAAATAAATATACTTCCACACTAGCTGAAAGTCAAGTGCAACCCGCACCTTTATAAGGTGTAGGATAAAGTCACGTTTGGAAAAGGTAATTGCACCTTTTTAATATTACTTAGAAATTACAGTGAAATAACTATAAATAATTGTATATTTACTATAAAAATAGTAAGTTAACTACAATTTATGGTTCGGGCACATTCTACCCTTTTTTACAATAGCATAACTATTTTTATAGTAACCCTTACGTGTACGAATTACGTAAGAGTCACAATGTACTTAGAAGAATTGACAATTTTTGTGGTTGGGGTCTGTTTGACAATTATTACAGTTGATTTTACCAAGTTACTTTTGTGTGTAGGAATGCTTTCTTAAGAGCTGGCTTAAATTTCCAGTGTCCAATCCAATCAAGGACACTCCCGATTAAGACCATTTTTTCTGAGACCAAAAGAAAATGATACGATCAACAATTTCGAATTATATTTTAAAGATTTTATATTTACAAACTACGTAAAAATAAAACAAGAGAGAACGCTATTGTCGAGTACCTCGACTCTCAGATACCTATTACTCAGCAGCAAAGCAATTGCTTGAACTCCATTATTGGCCTATACCTATACATTTCGATAAGTATTAATAAAGACAAAAAAATTGCATTTATTTTTTCAAATACCTTTTATTGTTTAAGGCGATTGTTGGGCTAGACACTCTGATGAAACAAACTTGTGCTGCGTAGGAATCTCAAGAATCTGCATGGTGAATCCCTACACACAAAGAAAAAACTTGGTAAAATCAACTGTAATAATTGTCAAACAGGCCCCAACCAGCAAAATTGTCAATTCTACTAAGTAAATAGTCATTTCACAACAACAAAATACACACAATTAGCAAAGACACAAACCCAAAGCAAAAACAAAATACACGTAACTATTTTAATAGTTACGTAACTATCTTTGTTGGTCAATTTTACCAAGCAAATTTTTTTGTGTGTACTTTCTGGCTTTTATAGTTTCCAAGATCTCAATGTTTATAAGGACAGACAGACAGACGGACAGACGGACATGGCTAGATCGACTTGGCTACTGATTCTTATTAAGAATATATATACTTCATAGGGTCGGAAACGCGCAGAGGATATAATGATTTTTGTCGGAATTTTCAACGCAGTGACGGAGACGTTTCCACCTCATAAAGCACATATACCACCAGACGAGTCGATCTAGCCATGTCCGTCTGCCTGTTTGTTTCTATGCAAACTAGTCTCTCAGTTTGAAAGCTATCGGGATGAAACTTTCTTAAAAGTCATCTTTCTATAGCTTGTAGTGGGGTAAGAATACTCGCGTATGTTGTAGAGCTTGCCTCGGTTTTCATCTGTGATATTATTGAAAGACCATTATGAATTTTTGAAGTTAAGAACTTTAAAAATGTTTTCGAACATCTCGGAAACAGCTTGGAGGAACGACGTACAAATTTACACCTTTTTAAATGTGTACTACACACAAAAAAAAACTATGTAAAATCAACTATTTAATAGTATAGTATTTTAACCGAAAAAATTGTAGTTTTTATACCCGTTACTCGTAGAGTAAAAGAGTATATTGCATTCGTGCAATAGTATGTACGCTCAAAAATTTTTTTTCCTAAATTTTAGAAAATTTACATAAAATGAAATTTTTTCTTTTTATTTTTAGAAAACTTTTTGAATTTTATAAACTGTTTTCTTGAATCTAGAAAAAAAGACCATTGAAACAGAATTTTATGAAAACCTTTTTTAAATTTAGAAAAATGAAATGGTGTTTTTCCTAGTTTGCTCTCCAAAATGTTTCTTAAATTAATGGCGATTTCGCCAGCTGACTTTGCCTTTGAATTACACCCAAACAGCTGATGAAATAGTTGAAGCACGCCATTTTTTGCGCTTACAGAACAATTCGGTAGAGGTGGAGAAAAAATTGATGTGAAAATTGATAGATCGATGTTTGATGATATTTTACAAAACATCGATGTTTCCTCGAAAAAACACGCTATTATTGCGCTTACAGAACCATTCGGAAGCTCGATGTTTGATGATATTTTTTTGAAGTAAAAATCCAATTTTGTTACGCTTTCCGAGCTGAACTGGTCAGAGACATTTGTAAAATTAAAAAACAAATTGCTTAGACATATGAACACATGCATCGAAATATAAATGGAAAACAAATTTCTAAAGCGTGCACTGTACAGGCACGACTTAGGAAAACTGCAAGCCCTCATCTACGAAACGGAAACGGGAAGGCTCCACTGTTAGCCAGCAATTCAAAAGATCTGAGGATAAGGCCATTGAGCAATACTCTAGATTAGCAGACTCACCCCCGAAATTCGCGATACCCAAACTTACAAAAAAACAAGAAAGGAAGCTAGCTTTGGCCAGCCGAAGCTTATATACCCTTGCAGATCATTCCTATTAATTAACAAATCGCAAAAATGTTCAATTTTCTAATATTTCTCATTATTTTCCGATCGTTCCTATGGCAGCTATATGATATAGTCGTCCGATTTTGATTAAATTAAAATTGAAATTCGGAAATATTTAAAAAGAGTCATATCCTAGAGTAGAAGATAATACAATAAAAACCAAAGAAGCTTGAATTTATTTCCTATTACTTTTCCATTAATTTTCCGATCGTTCCTATGGCAGCTATATGATATAGTAGTCCGATTTTTTAAAAAATTAATTCGAAATTCAGAAATATTTAAAAAATAACATCCCCAAAAGAAGAAGGTAATATTTCAAAAAACACCGAAGCTAGAATTTTTTAAAGTTTTTTTTTCCGATTGTTCCTATAGGAGCTATAAGATATAGTTGTCCGATCCGGTCGGCTCCGACATATATACTACCTGCAATAGAAAGAAGACTTTTGCGAAATTTTTGTCCCGATAGCTCAAAAACTGAGAGACTAGTTTGCGTAGAAACAGACAGACGGACAGACGGACAGACGGACAGACGGACAGACGGACAGACGGACAGACGGACAGACGGACAGACGGACAGACGGACGGACAGACGGACAGACGGACAGACGGACATGGCTAGATCGACTCGTCTTGTGATGCTGATCAAGAATATATATACTTTATGGGGTCGGAAACGTCTCCTTCACTGCGTTGCAAACTTCTGACTGAAATCATAATACCCTCTGCAAGGGTATAAAAATGGTCAAAGTGCAAATTTTTTTTTATAC